CTTAGTAATCATGAAATTATTATATAAAAATGTAATTTTCTATTTTGTGATGACACTTATCTGACAAATATATTCAAAAAAAACCTAAAACCTAAAAAGATCATAACTGACCCTAATAGAAATAAGATAATATAATTGTATTAATGCATGTCATATGTATATCTTGTTTTGATAGTTACTTGAATGAATTACTACTACTAGTATATTTTATATCATATTTAAATTTAATACTGTATGTATCAATATCTAGTTTTTTCTTACCTTATTAGATTATAATAATATTATATTATTTATATATTGTTCTATTCATAGACTTATATTATAATACTAGTTAATTGTTTGATTATATCCTAATACCTCTAACCCTACATTTGAAAGCTATGATTATACCCTGAAAAGTAAGTCTTGCCAATCAAATTTGTACAGCCACATGTAACACTCATTGCACAGCCAGGTCCCCTTTTTGAATGGCAGGAACAATATAATGTGCGTGGAGCCATAGCCTTGGTGCTCGTTGGCCAATAGTATGCGGGTTTCTGATATCTGAACTTTCAAATCTGAGCTTGTGGAGGGAGGAGGGAGTATGAATCTTAGAATATGGGAGTTGACTTTCTAAAAATCTTCGGAGAGTTATGCCCAAGCTTCCTCCGAATTCCATCAGGTTCCCATAAGAGAACTCCTCTATTTTAGGATCTCCCTTCAAGTAAATTTAGCTTCACTGCTATCCCACTTAACACTCAGACGCCTACACATTCCATACCAACAAATCAGCTTCAACGTTTCCAGCACCCCTGGATTAAGCTTAACCTTATAATTTATAGCTGCGTAATGCCTGCACACGCTACGGTCAAAGCCTCTCCAGATGTCCATCCCCTGAAGCGCTACCCGCGTGCGCGCCTAATCTACAAGCGCGGCGATGACTCCAGCCAAGTATGGGACTTGGGCAACGGGAAGCTGTACAAGTTCCGTCCTCATAAGAGAGGAGTCTACGAATCGGATATTCACGCCCTGATCCAACGCAACACAAGCATTCCCGTTCCAACCATATACAGGGAATGGGTGAGTGCCACTCGCGGTGGGCCTGTCCATCACATGATTATGCAAAAGATCGAGGGAGAGCCATTGCATAAATCGTGGGCACGCCTTAGCAGGTCGGTGAAGGAAAGACTAGTCGTTCAGCTGGGAGATTACCTGAATCAACTGGGCAGGATAACATCCCCTTCCATTTGCTGCGTCGGGGGTGGCCCTTTGCACGACGAGCACGGCTTTCTCTTCTACCAGAGAGATGCTGCTCATGGTCCGTTCTCTGATGACCAATCCTTCTGGCTAGCACTCACCTCTCACCTTCGTCGCACCCAGTCTCGTACAATTCAGAAGGCGCTGGCACAGCTTCGCCACATAATGCCGCCTGCCCTGCCCGCAGTACTTACACACGCAGACCTACACCAGGGAAATATCCTGGTTCGTAATGGCAATATCGCAGCTATCATTGACTGGGAGGGGGCAGGGTTCTTTCCGAGATGGATGGAGTATGTTCGGTATTATCCTATCGACCGCTCTCCTGAGTTTGAGTTTGAGAATGCGGTGATTAGGAGGATGAGACCTTATCCAGCCGCTAGAAAGTTCAAGATGATTTTGGATACGCTGGGGAGTTCGGATCGACGCACTGTGGAGTGGGGACTTATGGAGTTGATGCGCTAGGTCTCATACTGGACTATCGTGGGAGCTTGGTACCGGGGATTGGGTAATGACAGAGGTTTGGTGTATCGAATGGATTATAATATTTATGATATCATATTATTATGTTTTTCTCTTTCTCTGCGATTCCTGTTTATCTTGCATATCTGAGAAATAATGTTGTGGAGGTGGACGATTTGTATAGTTTAGATATATGCCTTAGAGCAGTTTTATCCATTAAACCGATCACCTGTTTGGGTTTAAAAGCTTTCACTTGAGTTATCATATTAGCCTTAGAGCCTCCCGCCTTGAAGGAGGTGCTTGGAGGGGTATGTGGGTTGTTATCTCCATTGGCATTGTATTTCTAGGCTAATAACATAGGATTGCAGAGGACCTGTTCAGGAGGCGGTTGTTCCTGGGTTCTGGGACAGAAACTAGTGATTACGACTGACCCTACTCGAGTACTTTTGGAAATCTGGTTGGTGTTTAGCGTGGCAACAAAACCGTTGCTAGGAAAATTGAAACCCACAAAAGAGCCCAAACCTAGAGTTTGAAATTTTACCCCCGGAGGTAAGGTTCAAAGGCCTCGCCTGGGCCCAATTATCAATCTCGTTGAACCTAGGACGAACAAGCCACTAACAGGATTCGTTTGGGGGACATCAACTGCAAAAAAGAAAAGAAAAAGAAAAGACTACCGTATTGAACTGGGGGGGGGGGGGGGATCAGACCCAGAAGCAAACCGCTTTGTATGTGAAATCTACTCGGATCCTCGCCTTGGGATTTTGGCCAAAATCAAAGTTCCGAATTCAACTCAAAAAAGGTAATATCTAAATGCAGTGCTATCAAGAATATATCCGGCTCTTCCGAACTTCCTCTTCCTGTTACCGGGCGTTAGTTGGGATTTCCAAATTTTGAATTTTTTTTGTGGGGTTTAGTTCATTCGCTTACCCCTCTGACGCGCTTCCCGGTCCAATACGTTGACCCTGTTGATTGTATCACGGTTTGTGACCTAAAATGCGCAGGCGGGAAAGATGTCTCATAGAATTCTGGGTGTGGTGACCTGTTGTATCATACTATATGGTACTTGTATTGAGTATGCTGGGTTTCTTTCAGCTTCAAGACAAAGACCGGAATTTCCCCTGTCAAAGGCATCAATGGCAACCAACCCACCTACTCGAAATAATCAAATTTGGAAGGCGCAGTGGAAAGAATCTTACATAGTGACTTGTCCTGGAGTAGGACATTTCGGACCCCTCAATATGATACAAAGAAAAGTGAACTTTCCGGAAGCACCGGAGGAATCATAATCAAAAGTAGCAATGTTTCTACCCATCTAGAAACCCTAAAATTCTGTGGACTAGGGTCTAACTTGTCATCATCTGCTTCAATATGATAATATTATGAGAGAGGACATACAGTATTGTGATGACATTGAAGATACAAATATCCTTTCTCATGATGATAATTGCTTCCTTAATAGTATCTCACCACTTGTTTTTTTTTTTTCATTTTTTTCATAGCAACCTAGGATGCCTTTAGGGAAAATGGTTTTCAATTTTTTCCTCCGGGTAAGCCCGATAATGCACTTTTCACTTAGTCACCTTTATAGAGGAAAGGCCCTATTCCACCTTATGAGTGATACCGCATGTTTTGTTAAAATTGTGGGGATATAAAGGTATGGTTAAAAAAGTAGGAATGGTATTGAGCGGCCAACCTACTAGCCTAACGCTAAAATCCGGACCTTTTTATACTGCTCATTGCCCCCGTAAAGCTATCCGCCAGGGTTGGCTTCCCTTAGTGTTCCGGTCATGCAGTCGACGAAACTCCACAACATTTATAATTTCCGGAAAAAAATTAGGGACCAACTCAGGGTATGCTACAGTATATAATACAACATAGTGGAGTAAATAGTAGCAATCTCAAGTGATTGTCAAAGAAACAGCTTTTCTGCGCCGATCTAGCTACTTAGTGGCATAAGATATCACTCGGTTCTCATAGCCCTGAAAGGTGAGCTTACAACCACTAGACAAAAGTGTTTATGATACACTTTCTCAGGGTTTGTAGTCGTGTCTCACGCGGGTTGTATTTGCAGGGGCAGATGTCTCTACTACCCGCCTGCATCCCAATCTCGGTTGAGGTTAACCACTATAAAGGCTAACTTTACCCAAATAAAAAAAGTGCTCTAGCCGAAGAACTGTCTTGAGAAAGCCGTCACCAAGGCATCGATAAAGCATGCATCAGAGATTTTGAAATACCATTGCCTGAAGCTAACTTAGCTTGTTCAAGTCGACATCCCTCCGCCACCAATCAGAATAAATGGATGGAGAGCAACCCAAGAATGTGCAGAAAGAACCTGTCGCGTATTGAGCAATATAATCTCCCTGCATAGTTCTTAGGCTGCTGTTCGATCATTTCCTTTTCTGAGCAGGGAGAGTCTCTGTCAATTTGGAGCTTAGGCTGAGTGTACAGAGTTTACAGGTTTTATCTACCGTTAATGATAGCAAATGAGCCATGCCCATTCTCGGTACTACCGGAATCAAGCACAGCGCTCGCTATCCCTGGCCCTGCATCTGGGGAGAGCCCGAACAGCGCCCTATTCTCCCCACTTGAACCCCATTGTGGATGCATGGGTAGGGTTTAGAGAGCTCCCTATGTATCAGCAGTACCCCGAGCCAATGACTCAGATATCTAATGGCGCAGAAGGAAATAATACTGTGTGGAAGACGGTGGGCTAAGTTCCGCTTTTAGTCTGGGAAACAATCTCTCCTAAGTTTTTCCGAAAGTTGCAGGAATTATCGATTGTTGTCTATTGAGCGTTGGCCGTTCCATCGCAATGTGAGGACCCCACTACCCCTCGGGACATCTGTCATGTTATCAAACTAATTATGCATGTCTCGTACGCGAGAACTTTTGCCTTGTGGCTCTATATAGTGTACAATACAACATAATATACTCTTGGTGATTTTAAGAACCCGGACACTTAAGGATAATGCAGGAAAAACCCACCAAAAAGGAGACTTTGCCAACAGAGCTCATCGCCTCTCGGAAAGCCGAAGGGGTCCTAGAAACAAGTCGCCGAGTAATTGAGAGACTATGGACCTATCTCTGATCTCAGATTTCTGATAAATCCGCTTGTTTCATTGATATATCAGGTTTACCACCGCGTTGAGGGTGTCGGGCTCATTAATCTCGCGGGGTGCAATAGAGTTATAGTAAGATTACTAGAGGTAGTTAGCCGACCTAGTGTGGAGGAGAGAAAAAACACTTCATATCACAATGTACATGCAGGAGGGGGGAGAGGATTTACGGATGCCCTCCAGAGGACTAAAGAAAATACAAAGCTAAGCGCTTAAATACAGAATTAGCCCCCGGCATTGAGAATACTGTAGATCGAACTTGGCTACGGTACTCCGCAGCATCGCCCCCCTGCCCATGGTCCTCCTCAAATTTTATGGGAGCCTTGGCTTCAATCGTCTTGCCCACGACGATCCTCCCACCTGTGCTAGTCGACAATCCGGAATCCGCTTGTTATAAGAAATCTCCACCAACACTTTCTGTGACACGAACTCCTATGGGAAAAGACATCATCACCTGTTGTCAAATTTCTGTTGCGAGAGATATCGTTCCTGTGCAGCGCACCCTCCAGCTGTAATTGAAGGCACGGTATCACTAATTTAGAACACCGTAATAATTATAACCTATTATTCCAACAAGTGTTTCTCGGTTCCGAAGTTTTCATCGCCACAAAGACAAATTCTTACATCTAATCGCCCAAGGGATGCGCGATTATGATGTGATACCAACAACCGGTTTGGTAGGGTTACTATACGCATCCAGTATGTGGGTGGGATCCGGGAAAATTCCTGCAGAATTCATAGGGCACAACTGGATATCTACCCCAGATTTCCTCACAAACACCCCCTCTCCCCCCTACCCTTCGGGATTAGCTGATCAAGCTCTGCCCTATGATACCGTCATGACACTTTACTGTGAGGGCATGGTATAACTCACTAGACCACCGAATTCCAAAGTATGACAAAGCGAAACCTAGTTTCATGAACAAGATTCCCTGTGGCCGCACCACCGCCCACGGCACCGTGCCCCAGGGGTGAAGCATTTGCTAGCAGATCGATGACCATATCACCCTCACCTCATCCTCCTAATGCAAAAGTAAGCTGAAATTTTAATTTGAGAATTGCTATTGAAGAGGTCTAGATCACCCTCATGAAAAGGTAGCTGGGCTAATTGAAAACCGGAATTCCACATGGAAAACCCGAGGGAACGTCTCTTGGTTACCTGGATCGCACGGTACTGTACGGTACCTGTACATCTACCGTAACGTGCGGAAAAATACGAGCAGTGCGGTATCATACAGTAGTAACAACTTGGACCTGATCCTTCAGAGCTCTACTGAGCCTAGTACTAGTAAAGCGCCAACACTAATATCCGGCACTCATCCGAGGTTTCTCCCGTTTGGGGACCAAACCGAGCACAGCGAGGTCCACGCAAGAGGGAGGCTCACGCTTAGAAACGAAACTGAAATTCTGGTAACATTTTAGCAGTTCAGCATGAGTGCGGTCCAGTACTCGTACAGTCTGTACTGCTTTTTGCCGTTCGGTTTCCAAAGGAACCTGGGGAGGAAAATAGTGTGGACTAATTGATAGACTAGAACAGATGCAGATGATGATGAAGAGAATATTTCAAGCTAAATTTAACGGTTGATAGAAGAATAGCACATTCACAAGCCCCGGTGACTGAAGCTCGATAGTTAGCATAAAAGCTAATATCATATTTTGTTAGCATGTCAAGCCAACTACTAGTGTGTAGCGTTACGAGTAGAGCCAGCCCCCCCAAAAAAAACAATTCCTGTACATGTACCTGCAAACCGCCTTTTCTTCCGGTATGCGGTTTTGGTCATCTTTGTCAAAACCGACCAAAAGCGGAAAAACGGCGAAGCGTGAGTCCCCCTGTTACTGGTACATGAGGATGGGCGAGCAACGGGGAGTCATGTCCACGAACCGCCGGTATCCCATCACAGCGTGGGATGGTTGAAAACCTTTGCTCCGTTTGGCTCAACGTCGATTGAACAGCTCGATTCAAAACGTGTTTCGGGCCGGAAATGCCTTTTAAATCCATTGTGGTGATTGGCACATGATACGCTCCCTGAATCGGCGAACCGCTCAATCGACAGCCAGCCCAACAAAACCTAAGCCACTAAACCCCCAACAGCGGTACGATGCCCCACAGTCCAAATTATGACATCATACCCACCCACTCCCCACCAAAATCCCAACCAGGAAATAACACCCTGCCCAGCCACAACCTCCAACTCCCCGGCTAGCCTACTTTGCAAACTCAACACCCGATTCAAGCATATCGCAACTATTATAAAACTGCCGCCGCTCGAGTACGGCACAATCCAGCGCTCTCTACAGACTCCTCAGATGGACAGTGGGTTCTGGATCCGATCCGGGGTTTGTGCGGTGGCAGGTGGGCGGATAAACTTGATTTCAACTATCGGGTCAGGTCACCATACGGTACAAATAGGTGGAGGGATATGGCAAGGAAGTCAAATTAAACTTTAACGGTCTGATAGAGCAAGGTGGATAGGTTAGTCAGCGGTGGGTGGGGTGGAGCGGATGCTGTAGACTATCGCATGGCGTAACACAAGCGGTACGATAGTTAAAAAAAGAAAAATAATTTACCACAAACTGGAGCACAACTGCAAAACCCACCCCCCATCTAAACAAGCCTCAACACCCCCCCAACCTCCTCAATCCCGACGCTCCTCTTCTCATCCAGACTAATCCTCCCGGCGTGCAATATCGCCCCCGTAACAATCGTGTTCCTGAGCGTAGGCAAACCGCGCCTATCGAGCTCCGCGAGTGTGATGCGACCCTCGTTCAGTGCCGAGCACGCGTCCACGAACTTCTCGAAAGAGATGTAACCGTAGCCGGTCTGTCCGGCAAAGTTTCCTTCCTCGTCGGGGGCGTAGCGCATGTAGAAGGGGTTATACCAGGTCAGGCCGCCCAGGTCGTCGTCCGTCACATCGTAGCCGCGTTTGGATTGGTTGGCGCGGATTTCGCCTTTGGAGGCCATGTCTGCTGCAAGTTAGCTTTTGGCTTTGCGGTAGGGGGTAATTTGGGAGGGGGGGTACAGTGAAAGTATTGATTGGAATGAACGCCGGCTCTTTGGGGGGCGGTCCAGGATGCGGTGTAAACTCCCGTGGCAGTCTTTGAAGGGTCATCCTTCTTTACCCAGTCCGTCAAGAGTGTGATTGTGTCCTCGGTTCCTCCGACACACCCCAACCCTGTTGCGCAACCAGTGCTCCCCGACGCCGTGACCTTAAAAGGCCGGTACCCCGGAACCATACTCTCATTGATATCAATATGATGCGAATTCAGGTAGTACGAGATATCACTCTCCTTCCCAGCCCACGCCCTGAAAGTCTCCAGCTGCGACTTCGGCTGCGACATGTAACTGTAAAAGTAATTGAAGTCACCGAGATTCTTGGCCCTAGCCCTCGCATCGGAATAGGCAGGATCAAAGCGCTTGTGATGCTCCACGTAAACGAATACCTTTGCCCTCTCGGCCTCCTCGATGAGGGTGAGGTGGTCCTCCAGCGTTTTCGTCGCCGGCTTGGTGATGAGGACGTGTATCCCTCTTCGGATTGCGTAGAGCGCGATGGGGAAGTGCGTTGTGTCCGGGGTGAAGATTGTGATTGCGTCCCCGGGCGAGAGGGCGTCGATGGCGGTCTTGTAGCTTTCCGGATCCACGGCGTTGTCGGCGGGGAAGGACTTGAACGAGACGTCGAGGTTGTTGTAGACCTTTTTGATGTTTTTCTCCAAGTGATTGCCTGCAGGATGTCAGCTCATTGATGACGGGATGGAGGAATCGAAGGGGGTAGAGCACGGATATCCGGGTATTTTTTCCCGTTCACGCCGACCATGCTAAGCTCCCCGACCTTTCCGCGACGGCGGAGGTCAAAGAGGGTGAGACCCACCACGCCTACCTGCGAGAAATGTGAGAAGTGGGGATAGGGGTACACGGGGGGAAGGAGATGATGATGGTATGGTACCTTCTTGTCGGATGTAGACCCTCCAGTACCCACCCAGCCGGTGGTGTACTCTCCAGTTCCAACCTGCAAACTCGATCATTAGCTCTTGGCCCTCATCGTAATCACCAGCCAAGCCGGGATTGAGACAAACCATCAAAACATTCACCGGGGCCATAATTGCTGATCTCCAACTTCAGTCCGAGTCCAATTTCTCAAGAGGGGGCGGATGGTAAGTGTCAAGAACCAAGAGCTCAAGGGAGGAGGATAACAGAGGTTTATATAGCATGGCACCGGTATGTAGCGTACGGTACCCTACTCGTAATGGGGTGAAGTTTTGTGGGAGCGAGGGCTACCGCCAAATCTGCTTTTTCCCTGCGTCCATGTATTGTACAGTACAATAGGAGTCGTGTTCACAAACGTCACCCATTGCGAGTATAGTACGATACCGTGAAATCTGACCCGGAATTGGGGGCACTAAATACGCACTTCCACCATACTTTTTATGCCCCCATTAGGGTTTGGTTTTGCTGCCAAGCGTAATCCTGACAGGAGCAGTTTCAAGATACCCTGGAATTGACCACTACGCGACCCTCCGACAGGTGCGAGTTTAGGGGGATCGACATTCGCCGGGGGGTTGATGGGCTCTCTGTGTGAAGACAACCTCTGTGAACACTGGCAGCGTTGATAGCTCCCAAACAGGCCAGACTGCGCAAACACGCTACAGGAGCTCTTCTCTCTCTCTCTCGAATCATCTACTGGTAATACAATGTTTGGCAGCCCATCGCTGACTCATCCTCCAAAAATTTGGTGATTTGGAAGCTCGGGGCGAGAATGGCGAGATGAGGGGTTGTGCGGAAACGGCAAACCATCGAATCGCGCCGAAGGAGAATAGCGGGCGTTTCTTTCGCGAATTATTTCCTCTCCCCCCCACCTCTTACCCCAAGGATGGTTTTTTTTGCTTTGATTTTTCTTTATATCCTTTCTCTCCCCTACTCCAGGGGACCCGTTGATTTCAGGAACATACCGTACCATACTGTACCAGTCGTAGTCCATGATACCAACTTGTTTTATTTTGAACCCTGTAAGTTAGGGTTTGAAGTATTGAGAGATTTAAATTTATCCGCTAGTCTTGTCAACCCGTTGGAGGCCTGGATGACTCATTGTGGCCCACATGCTAGAGCAGAGATTCTTACGGGTGCCGGCCCTGTCGAATTGAGAACTATATGTCACGGCGAGTCCAAACACCCGGCGACACGAAACAAGTGGCGGCCATACAGTGCTCGAGTAGCGCATTGGGTTACTAAGGAAGTTTCCCAGACGGTTGTTTCGTGTCACCTCTTGTTTCGACCCACCGCGACATGCTCAAGTTTGTTGGTCTACGGCTAGCCATCACGGACCCCGCGAAGCTCCGGGTGGAGATACCGGTGGTAGATTTCCCAGGAGGGCTCCAAGATCCACAGGGGAGAGAACAGACGAGAATGCTCGGACAAGCACCGGTCGCCAAGGATAGACTCCTACCTACTTTTCTCCCCGCCCCGCCCCCCCCCCCCATCCACCACGACATCCTGCATCGAGAGGCGTATATTACCGGACTCTTTCCTGCCGGCGTATGCACCGCTCGCTGTGACCACCTCATCATGCCAACCTACAAGGCGGTGCGCTCGTGTCTCGAGTCCAGAACCAGTACCTGCGCCTATTCCACCAGCATCGTATTCCATAGGGCACCCGTACTGTACCGTGCTCGCATCATACAGATTGATAACCCGGGCTGGTGAACCCGAGATCTCAACGAAACCGGCAAATTTATCAGAAAACCTGGGATCGCGGATCGGGTGGCAGCCATCCAATCACCCAAGAACATGTTTCACGAATCCTTAACGGCTTTTCAGACATGGTTAATCTCACTGTCAGAGTCGCTTGCCCCGACCGTTCTTTCGTCGCAACCTCCGCGGGTCTCCGGGCTCAGCGCTGGTAATCCGGCGGCGGATCCCGCTGCCCTTTATCGCAGTTCGTGGCCTTATCGTAATGACCCGAGATCCTCTCCAAAGGTACCATACGGTGATATTAATTTATGACCTGAGACCTCCCGTTGCGAGGTGACCAGTGGAAAAGGTTCACGCCAACTGCCGCCCCCCGAACCGTCCCTAATGTCGGAACACCGCAGGAAACCAAAAAGTGACGAAAAGGGGAGCCAACCTCTTGGCGTAGCGACACAAGTAGAAAGTCCATGCGCGAATGGGACTATCGCTTAAATACTGCCGCGCGTAGGGCTCCGAGTTTCTTTTCCTCCTCCTCCCATCTTCCCACCCCTCCGCTCTCCATCTATCACGCCAGAAACACTCGGCATGACCACCCCTCAACCGGCCCATTCCTCTGAGGCCCCTTTCGGCTATACCAGGGTAGGACAACCCCGCAAACGTCCTCTTTCCAATAGGGAAGGCTTCTGTCCCGTCAAAGAATGTTCACGTAATTTCCGACACCGGTATCTTCTTCCTTGTCCTCCCTTCTCTTTTCCTTTGTTTTTCTGGGTGGAAGTTCTAACACGATTGACAGCCTCAATCCCAGGCAGGCTATCTGGCAACATTTGGCCCACTATCTTAACCCCCCATGTACAGGCTTTCCCATCTCCCCTTTCAGGCGGGCGCATGCCGAGATGCATGAACAGATGAAAGCGGAGTTAGCAAACAACAGACTCTCGGGTGAGTATGCTTCCCTCAGAGAGGCTTCTCTGATCTCGATCTAACCTTAGATATCGCCAGAGAATGAGAAGAAGGAGCGGCAGAAGCAGAGCAAGAAGAAATGGGTGGAGAAGAATACTGAGAAGAGGGCCCTCTCTTTGAAAAAGTCAAACCTTAGAAAGAAGGCGAAGAGGGAGTTGAAGAGGGAGGGAAAGGATCTGACGCAGCAGGCTGTCGAGGAATTGGTGGAAAAATGGCACGCGGCGGAAACGGAGAAATAGAAATTGAAACCCGCACGAAAACAGTATGAAGCGAAAGTGGGGAATCAATTATTTTGCTAAATTAATCTGTCTCGGAACTCATTGAGTTTGTAGGTAAAGACTGAATCAAAAAAAAAAATTCCAGCCACCGCGGGTGCCGTGGCACCCTCAGCCGGGAAACAGTTGGTCTGGGGCGGAAGACTGGCTCCGCCCCCTCAGCTAGAAGCGATAATTTACCCCACGAGGTAGGAGTTGCGGGAGCCGTTGAGTACGGAGGCGGAAGAATAGTCAGGTGCTTGGCCGGAATTGGTAATGATGAAATTTGTGAATTTAGCATCCGATTCTGGCTGGGATGGGTCGGGCTGACCGTGAGCTATAGACACAAAGCCCGCGTTCCGATATATAACAAATGGTAAATGGAGATAGTTCCCAGTATTCGCGAACCCGCCAGCAGGACTATCCAGAGTTAGCCCAGTCTCCCACGCCGGAAGACTCGGCAAAGACCTATGCGATACGCCAAGATACCCTTTATCCAGACGGTAGCTAGTCCCGCAACTCCCCGGAGGACCCCATCAACTAGATTGCCACTCCGACTCCTTTGCGATCCAATACCGGTACGCCTCACCAGAACGCCTCGAACCCGCCCCGACAGAGTAAGCAAGTCTTTCTTCACAACCCCCGACGCCTCCTGCTGGATGTGGTTTTCAGACTCGATGCTTCTCTCTAGATTCATCAGCCCGGGCGTGACCACTTTCTTCCAAACTCGTTCCCCCCCATCTTTACCGGAAATAACTCATTAACCAAGGCGACAAAACTTGACGCTTTGCCAGACCCAGCGCGCATAGCAGATCAACTTTCAATGAGCTGACTCCCGGACCATCATCCCGGTTTGAATCTCCTTCAATACTTCCCCTCTTCCTCAAATTCCCAGAATGTTTATGAAATAGCGTCGGAGATATCTTAGGGCCTGTTTGGCACGCCAGGATTAGACTAGGATTTAGACTTAAAGTCCGGACTTGAAAACCAAAGTCCAAAAACTCCAAAGTCTGGACTTTGTAAACTAGCCATACCAAACAGGACAGGATTTAGATTAGGACTAGGGAGGACTTGTGTATCTGATGTAAAATAATAAAGATAAGATCTAGGCATGTGTTTTGTTTGTGCTTACAAGCCAAGAAAGTACTTAGGGCTAATGCCTTCCTGAGTTTGCTTTGTGACAAGTGTTTTTTTTTTTGTGAAAATCCTGGTTTGAAATCCTGATCTAATCCGGGAGTGAAAATCTAGTCCAAGTCCTGACCTGCCAAATAGGATTAGACTGAAAGTCCAGACTTAGGAGATAATCCGGATTTTATGTCCAAATTCTGGCATGCCAAACAGGCCCTTAGTGCTGAGCGGCATGCTTCGGCTATAGCTCGAAACATTGGTGAAGGTACTAGGGTTAGCAACCTATTTCATGGCAGTGAACCCCCAAACCAAGGGAGATGCGAATGTTTGCCACTACTCTAATTATAAGGCGTGGTGAAAAGATCTCACTCTGACGGTCTGATTGAAAAGACAAAGGAAAGGGTATCGATCTCAGAGGGTCTGGGTCTTGTGGTATAATACTATCTTTATAAGTCGTGTATGATAATATGATATCCGGCTCATGTTTATTCCCTTGATCATCGCAGCCGCTCAGATTACCGCCGCTCACATTTTCCACTACCATACTCCCACTACCGCCGTCACCCAAAAGAACAAGCTAAACTCACACTCTCCTCACCATCCTCCGCATATCCCAGAAATACCCTTCGAACTTGCCATTCAGCGCTGTATTGCAGTAGCCGAGCAAGCGTAGCATGCCCAACCAGACATCATACCGAAAGACATCCCCGCAAACACCACCCCCAAACACACACAAGACCCAATTCGAGACGCCAAAACCCCATATCATACACCGCATTCGGAACCACACCCCGAGCCCCATTTTGAAATGCGCATCTGAGAAAATCTGATGTTGTGTTGGTGCCACATCGGAGATCACTCGGTAGTGATTCGCCACCGGCCCCTGATTTTATTTTCTCCAGACCCAAATTTAGTTATCAACAAGAGTGTTGATTTTCCCAGCGGTGCATGCCCACCGCTGAGGGTTTCGGAAGATATCAGGGAGGATGGAACGTAAATTCGTGAAGCGCTCGATTTGGGATTTCGCGTGCTCGTTGAGCGAGGACATATTTTCGCGCCGTCGATCTTTGGGAAAGAAAATATAAAAGGAAGGAAAAAAACTTGGCGCCTTTCGGGAGGAGGATGAGTGTGTAGGGGGGTGGGGGGGGGGGGGTGGCCGAGAATAGTCATGAGATATCACTCACGATGATACGTAATTGAGTGCGACTTGGCCATCGACACAAAACCCAGCGCCGTGCCCGTACCCACGGAAGACCGCCTGCGCACGGACATGTGAGTCCAGACGCTCCGAGATAAACACTCCCGTCACGATGCGGCGGCACGAACTACACCTCCCACCACATCGCAGACCGTAAATCGAGTGATGAGAAATGACGCTCACTAGCTAACGGGATATAACAGCATGCTCGCGTGGATATTGAAGGAGGCGCCGTTCGTGATTTGGAAAGATGCGTAGTTCGGAGACGAAATCTGGGTCAATGTGTTATTGCCATGAGAAAAAAAGAGCCTGGGTTACCCACACCCCCACCCCCCAAATTTTTCGTCCTCTATTATTTTTAAATTGTGGTTATGCTAGGAAATTGAATCACCCACGTGAACCACGACGATAATATTATGATAATATCAGTAAGGGGATTGAGTATCTTTGAGTTCATGCATAGGACCGCACCCAGCGGTTGTCCGTCCGTCCATCCGTCCGTCCCGGATTTATGCATTCGGGAATATCATACCACATATGTCCGGGATCGTGTGACCTTCTTGAGGCCAGAAGCGTCTGCAAACCTACTTCTCAATTCGGAACAGTGGGAGGGGGTAAGTCGGTCCGGATTTCTGGAAACTTTTGTGATGGGAGGTGGATAGATACTTGTTGTAGAAGTCGATTTCCTATTATGGATTTTATCATAAATAGCGTGAGGATGCGCAGAAGCTCCTGGCTCCAACTGGGACGCGCATTTATGGTAACTGGTGTCGTAGATATACTACGGTGAGTTACTGACTTGTCCCGCTCTAGTCACTGGTCTTCTAAGGCACCCCCCCCCACACACTCCTCCTTGTCATTACTGTCTACATATGGTAATGCCATGGCACTGCACTGGTAAAAACCACAAGAATAAAATAAAAAATATAAAAAATACTCGGGCAGATAGACTTTCTATGATACTCTGGACAAGAGATATCATACCGACTGTTGGTAAGGTTACCTCCACCTCCGCGATTACAAACTACTTGTAACCCCGGAACACGCCTAGCGCGATTTTCTACTCACCCTCCCGGGACTTCACTCTTCCTTTAAGAGCAAAAGAATTTCGAAACCCGTAAACGCAGCTAATATCATAGTCAATCGACGGTCGTCGAGTATGATACCCGTAAACAAATATATATATACGTTAGTGACTCCCAATTCCCCAAGATATTCGTGATTCACCTCTTTTAATCTTATCATGTCACTCGGGTATTAGATCAAGTTACCGGTCAGCCCTTAAAGATTGCGGCTATAAGCTTAAAACGGCCATAGGTCGAGTTTTTTCTTTATGATATATCCTTTTTAATGATGCTGGTAAATAGGATCCAACTGTTCCGGCGAGGTTTTTGTTCTCAATGCAAGTGTCGGGTTACGAATGGATTAAACGGAGGATATAGTAGGAAGGAAGGAAGGAATCGCTCTAAATTGAATAAAAATGATGTTAAAGCGCCGTAGACATGATAATGATAACATAGCGCCGCCCAGAGAAGACACTATTTGAAAAATCTAACTGCAAGATCCAGACAACTGCGAGTAAAACTACCCCCCTGTGCGAAGAAAGCATATATCTATAAATCATACCCGCGGAACTTTGCGCGCTTTCGCCGTTGCCCGCGTAATCCAATTACTTGCCCTGTGGGGACCGAACCGATTAGCACCATCTGCAGACCCAGCTGTCATCTTGGTTATCGGGATACTCACGTTTCCCATGTGAATACTTCTCCATCGCCCTTTTCACCACCAGCCTATTCTGCGAGGCCGCCAAATCACTCGACGATCTGCCCTCGTTATTCCTCATCTCAACATCCACGTTCGCCCTAGAGAGCAGCAAAAGTACGAGATCCTCCCTGTCGCCCTTCTGGATGGCGATGTGCAAGGGAGTATCCCCATTCTCGTCTGTGGAATTGACGTCGAACCTCCCGTCATCGAGGAGTAAGCGTAGGGCCGGGAGCTGACAGCTCCCGACCGCGGCGTGGAGCGGATTTCCAAGTGTTCCATGGTGTTGCCTGGGAGCTAACCGCTTGTCTTCCAGGAAGAACCGGATGAGTCTGCAGTCGCCGATCCTCACGGAAAAGTGGAGGGGCGTCTGGCCCAATTTGTCGCGAACGTTGAGGTCGATTTTCGGATGCGCTAGTAGGGTTTTGAGGAGCTGCTCGCCACCAAAATCCGCCGCTACGTGGAGCGGTGTTTGGAACTCGGTGTCACACCAGTTCACGTCGACCCTCGGGTCCGCCAGCAGGACTCTTGTCGCGTCTTCCGAGCGGTCGACCCAGCGCACGGCGTGGTATAGCGGTGTGCAGTCGTCCACAAGGCCCAACCTGTTGACGTCGATGTCTTTCCGCGCGAGCAGGGCTTGTATCACCGCCGTTTGGCGATGTTCGACCGCCAAGTGCAAGAGCGTCACGTCCTGGTAGAGGTACCCGTTAATGTCCACCTCGCCAACGTCCAGCATGATCTCTAGAGCTTTCGCCCTCCCGTGCGTCACTGCGTATCTCATCGGCAATCCCCTCACGTTCATCTCGTCATGCCTCGGATACGCCAGAGGGTCCACACCGCATTCGAGGAGGATTCGTAGCGCGTCGTTGCATTTCCGCCTCTTCAGCACGCGAATCAGGAGCCTTGCGGTGTCCACCACGTTCAGGATCCCTTTGGAAACGACCAATTTCACGAGCTCCTTGTCGCCTCTTTGCGCGGCAGAGTGGAGGAGATCGCGAGAGCGATTCTCGTACTCGCCGCAACAGCCTTCGCCGCGATTCTCATCGCACGCCGTGTCGAGGAGAGAGTCGTACAGGAGGCAGAATAGTGCGTGGTTGACTCGGAGGAGGGCGTACAAATCTACCGGGCAAAGATCTCCGGAGATTTGGAAGACGAGCTCGTTCGGGAGGTGGAGCAACGACATGGCAGGTTTCTCATCGATAGCGGTGCGGTGTGAGGTGAAGCTGTGGTGGAGCTATCCGGATGTCGGATCTCTCCCAGCCTCGTGGGGGAAGGGGCGTAAGAGCTCGATGACCCGTGCTCGTAGAGGTTGTAATTCTAGCACGGTATAGTACCGTCCAGCACCGGTATTTCGGATAGCTGCACGGTCGCAACGGTTCCCGGAGGTCCTGGCGCTTGGACCTGCTGTGTCCCTCGTTTGTGCCAAGGGTCCAAGCTCTTTGTGTCACAATCCGTGACTCTGCCCTTGACTTCAAATGCGTGGTCCGGTGTTCGAGTACCGGTACGGTAATGCAGTTATGATACGATCAGAGATATTCGGCCAATACTCCCTAAAGAGCCTCTAAATCATGCCAGTGAACCCAGCGGTGCTTTTTCAGTCGCGTTGTCATCATCATGTGACTTGTACTGTACTTGTACTGCTCGGGCGCGTACGGTACAGTACAAGCACAGTACAGAGCTTGCATTGCCTGCTCTTTTCAGCTCAGGACTCCGGCTTACAAGACACGGCTGATGACCCATCGTTCAAGGAACCCCGAGCCAAACTGAGCCACCTTCCACTTTTGCCGCCACGTTTGCCAGATTCCGCATACCCGGTACCCGGTGAACCTCGCAGGCGATCGAGGATAGCTGGCCGTATGGACCTGGAGCTAGAAAAGGTACAGTGCTTCTGCAATACCGGTACGGCACTAGTATAGGTCTCACCGCATGGCAAATGCGGTACTCGAGTACTCGAGTACTAGTACTGGCACTGGTAGCACCAAAGAACCATACAAGTGCCGGTAGAATACCGGCATGTTAGGCAGTATCGCACAGCACAAGTACCGGCACTGCTTGTGTCCCAACGAGCCCCATTCCTTTTGCTCTGCAGCTTGCGGTAGGAAAAAAACGGAAAAAGCGTGTTCGAAACACGGTTGTTCAATTGGCCCGAGCCACCGAATACTCGAATCAGAACCCCGGAATCCATCTGGTCTCATTTCCACATTTTCCCATTTTTTTTTACCGCAGGCTGTACCAGCGCTCCTGCAACACCCCGGGTGCAACACACCATAATAGCTTTTTCCAATTGAGCTTTTGTGTCGTGTGTGTGCTGGGATCTATGCACCATGTGAAGGCGTCAATCTGCAAGCATGACACTCGGGTGAAGAGTAAGGACCGATAAACTACTAGCATCCCATTAAAGTCCAGACTACCTAACCCCTACAAGCAAGAGACTCCAGTGCGAATTACTCATTACCCCCTCCAACCTATGCCGTAACGATAAGTCTATCCCCACCCTCATCTTCCCCCCACTTCCCCTCTGGCGGCGAAAAATTCCTTTTCAGCTCAGCCCAACTCTCGACGGTATAATCCTCCTGGATCTTCATGCAAGACCTCAATCCCCACACCGTCACACCGACCATGAAGCAGCTCTCAAACATAAACGCCATGCCATCCTCTCCCACCTTCGTCGGCTTCAGCGGCGCCTTAGAAGCCTTCTCATGAGTCCCGGCATCGGGGCCATGGCCGGCCATAATATTATGAAGACTTGCACCACCGGGCTTGAATCCGCCGGAGGTCTTACCATCGTAAACGCCGGATATCAGCCCCATGAACTCGCTCATATTATTTCTATGGAACCATGGAGGACGGAAGCTGTCTTCCGCAACCAACCACCGAGGCGGGAAAACGACAAAGTCGGCAATTGCAGTCCCGGGGGTCGAGGATTGCGCCGTCAGCACCGTGAAAATCGAAGGATCCGGGTGATCGTAAGAAATCGAGCCGATGGCATTAAACCTTCCCAGGTCGTACTTCGTCGGATGGTAGTTTCCATGCCAGGCTACCACGTCGAAAGGTGTGTGAGGTTGGGTTGCTGTGAAAAGCCCCCCATCGAACTTGCAGGTGATGGTGTAAGGGGCTTGGGGCGCTGGCGGGGTACTAATGAAGGTTGCGAGTGGAACCTGAAAATCTCGCGGGTTAGCGAGACCACTGCTACCGATCGGACCGAGCTCGGGCAGCTCAAAGTGACCGTTTGTAGAGATCTCGAGAATGTAACCCCGGATAGGTCCGGCGGGAAGGGATACCCGGGAACGAACACCTCGAGGGAGAATAAGTATTTCATTTGGGCGGATATATAATCTACCAACGTAAGAATCTGGCATCTCGCGGGTTTCGTCACCACTCACCGCCCAAGCTCCGTCTGGACATCCATTTCCCCTTGCTGCAACACAATCAACCAGTCGCCATCCGCGTTATAAAACGCACTCCTCTTATCCATATCCTTTCCGGCGGTGAAAACGTAAATCCCAAGGCCATCTCTCACGGACGCATTCCCGGCACCAGCGAGCAGATGTAGCCCCTGAACGAAATCCGCCGATTGCTCAATGTCAAAAGGATCCCATCGCAGTTGATTAGGGATCTGGCGGAACTCGTACGTCGGGGGGGACGGGCCATTCGCATAAGTGGTTGAGACGGGAGCGAAAGGGGTATGTGAAGCGGAGGGGAGGATCCGGTACAGCCATGTTTGCCTGTTAGTTGCCCGCGGAGCCGTGAATGCCGTACCCGAGAGTTTCTCTACGTAGAGCCCGTAGGGGGGTTTCTGTGGAGAATTTTGTCCAATGGGAAGGGCACCGGGTATAGCTTCGGTCCTGCTGAGCTTAGCCTCCCAAATTCAGTTTCTGGGCGAGGGGTGTGTTTACTCGTGATAAGAATTGAAGCCGTTAAGATATCTGTATGGATCGGGCGTCTTGAATGCGGTGAAAGGCATGTTTGCTTCTGTCCCCCTCAAGAGGGCTTTTCGATAGGAAGATGGAGAATAGGCCAAATGGATGAGCTCTATCGGGAGGTTGTATAATATACCAAGAGCTCAACGGGGAGGGGGGGTGGAGTGGGGGGTGGAGTTGGAGAAGATATGGTTACCAAAGATCTCCGGGAATTTCGCTGGAATCAAAGAAGTTTGGGTAGCCGATGGTAACCGTGGTCAGACCGTGTTCACAATCTGTGGAAGGGACGCAGGGACTGGGCGAGGTTGATTGGACAGCGAGGCATTTCGCTGGACTAACCTTTCCGAGGGTCTGGCACAGAAATGGCAGGGGGCAGGGGTCTTGGGGGTTGATGCTGACTTTGGTCAAGTTTGGTGGCACGGTACGGTGCAACCAACCCATCTTGAACGCAGGCCTTCCGTCGCTCGAGAAGAGTGTGGGGGAGAGCGATTTTTCTTTTGATATGATGGATGTATTGAATTGGGGGCTAGGGACCTGATCCATCAACTGTAGCTACTTGTTCGAGGCTGACCGCGGCAGGAGGAAATAGAGATCCTCCAAGGACCATATTCCCCCGGGCGGTTAGAGATGGCAAAATCCGCGACCAGGCACGCTAAGCCCGGATCCGTCCCACCACTAGCTATTTCAGGTTGCGAATTGGAACTTTTTGGTGACCAGGTAACTAAGCAGCTTGGCAACCGGCGAGTGGTCAGCGGATCACAATATCAGAATGTCCCCCACAACAGGATTGGCGCTCCCGGTGGCTGTCTCTGACCGCCCAAGGGATACCGGCACTGTGACACCGCTACTATGAAATTCGAGCTATGCACCTAACCACTTTGTTATGTTATGCACCCCCGAAGGAGATACTGCAAGGGGTAGGTAGCCCTGATAACACCCCTCCGACAACCTCCGAGAATCCGATCACCCCCTGGCATGTCTATGGCTGAACGCTAGCATCCGGTAGTCGTGTCCGCGAGATTTTGTGCTCCTGAGTACAAGTAGCAACTTGGTCGGGAAATCTAGTTATTATCCCAACTCCCCTGCTCACGGGCCAAACAGTTTGAAAACCAAATAGTAGACATTGTTTTTAGAGAGTATAAGTTACCACCTTATACGAAATAATATCCAAAAGGGTGGTAGAAAGTTATGTCATTGGTGTGCTTTGAGGGCAAGGTACGAACCGGGAACATTGTGGGATTGTGCTTCGGTTTTTTCCAGAAGCCATGAATGAAATAATAGCTCAGAAAACGTCAATAACGGAACTAGGATGCATGGGTTTGGCTATTTAAGTGTGGAATACTGGAAGACTAGCAAGGCCCCCCCACTCGAGATATTGAGCATCGGCATTTGCTCCCATGGTCCTTTGATCACTCTAGTGTTTAGCTAGCTCTACTCGCAGTGTCCTGCTCGTTCTACCTATAGTGTTTGGCAGGGAAATTTTTTCTCTCTTCCTTCCTTACCTTCCGCCGGCCTTTCCGGCCTTTCCGAGTTTTTCGAGGGTGGCGGGGTCCGCACTTAGCAGGTAAGGAAGCATAGCCGTAACCGGTATACTTATGGTCTCCTGAGTCCCTTGGTACCGTTGTCCACTCGAGTAGTGGTGATCGGGCCTGGCGCGTTGACCGGTCCTGGACATGACTATGGTGAGTGACCAGTGGTCGGCGGGGGGGCGATGGGGGGTGCCGGTGATGGGTAGCCAGGCTTCTCTGGGCGAACCAAAAGGTTGATCCTATCTTGTGATAAAAGTAATACCTACGGGTACTTTCAAGCTCCAGACTCCGGTTTCCGACCTTCAAGTCAAGTACCGTACAGTAAAAACTCGTGAAACCCACTATCTCCGTAGCAGGGGCTAATCTCCGGTCCACACCATGGGTCTAGTTCGACAGGTTAATAGAATTGCGAATACAAGTTAATGAGATCTACCCTCTGTTGGGGCCGATCTTACAAGTATACGAGTACTGTGTGGGGAAGACGCTAATCCTCTCCAGGAGCTTTGGCTCAGGATACGGAGATTGCAAGGCAGATGGAGTTACAAGTACAGGCACCGGTAGTGAATTTCACGAGTTTGTACGGTACTGTATTGTGCTTGTTTTTCTTCACCGCCAAATGCCAAGATGCCAGACTTCCCCGATTCGGCCTTTCAAACCCTAACCCCAATCTCACTCCCGGCCGGTACCGGTACTCGAAGACTGTACGAGTACTGTACCGTGGAACCCGCCCTGATGGGTCCTGACCACTGGTCAACGTCAACACGGCTATTGTCTGCCTTTTCTCGCTTCCCTGAGGCTTGGGACAGGGATGAGGTAACGGCCACCGGTATCAGATGATCGGATCGGAACATAATTATCTTGTTTTGATCATGTAGCACCGTATGATATCATACTCGAGTATGATAGGAGTAAGCATAGCACAGCACCCTACAGGTTATATTATTTTAAGAATACGGTATTACTTGATAAGCAAACGTTGGGAAGTCTGAGTATAATAGATGTAAAATGTTATGTCCCATCCTTAAACCACGGGTGCTGTCGGGGAAAGAAGTATGATACGCTCAGAATGATAGGTTGGGGGGGGGGTGTTTGGCATAATTTGAATCTGTTTCATCATGTATAAAGGTCTGGTTCTACCTGCCGGTATTCCTATCATACCCATTTCCTTCCTAACCACAGTCTTTACTGGGCACGACGAAACTGGGCGGATGATGAACAGGGATCCTTGGCTCGTCAATTTTTTGATACCCTACCTTGACGATTTCACTTTTTCCCATACTCGTAAAGTAACCCCTGTTCGTCACCGATCCAGTTTCGCCGTGCTCCCGGCGAAGACTGTATCGCCTGTACCGGTATAAGTTGTAAAAATAGAGGTGTTGGATGGAACAAAATGTGTTCTTACCCGTGTTCCGTGGGGCATCTGAACCTGTTTGCATGTCCGGTATCATACTCATGTCGCTGGATCGAAGTTTGGTTTCTTGAGGTGCGTGGCCACCGGAAGGGGAGGGATGTCGATCCGGTGATATGGTTTGTTCACGAGTAAAGTTCCGTGGAGTCCGTATTTCGCTACGTCATTTGATCCGGTGTATATCAGATTTCTCAATTTATCCGTAAGCATTCACAATATTGTGGCTCGCAGTTTTGGCTCGGAATAAGCTACGAAAGAAATTCCGGGCACCACCGCATCTTCTGGTTAAAGACCTGAAATGCCGGTAGGTGCCAATCGCCGGAGATATACAGTTAGCGCCCGTGGTGGGTATAAATCTTTTATCCCAGTTACGATACCCCCTGCGCCAGCAGGCTTTTTCCCTGTAGTGTGGAGCCGGGCGTCGAGGGTGACCAGCACCTACTGCTGATTTACTTGTTCTCCATCAGCTGCATATCATACCTTCAGACCTTGTGAGTAGCTCAAGGGATTCCGTGAGCCGGTGCTCGCTGTACCTGGTGCCCGAAGTGTGGGGAAATGCTGTACAGGTCCAGCGGCTTGTGTTTTTTCCACTCCAGACTATGCTTTCCTCAAACCCGGCCGGTTGCCTCCTAATTTCGGAAATTATTTGTGCTTGGTCTGACCCCGACGCTAGATGTCGGGAAGTTAAGGGTGGCAAAGTATGATACTCTTATTATTTACGGATTAAGTATGCTTTTCATCTCGGTCTGGGGTACAGGAAGGCCGTTCACGGATTGCTCCTGAGGTTGATTTTAAGGTTGCTTACCCCACCGGTTGCAGGTGGCTATCGGAGTCAACGGATAGCAAGACCTACTGCCGGTACCGTAGGTTCTTTGTTTACCCTAGCGCCCTTTGGGATTTAACCACAAAGTGCAGTATCATACCAAGCTCCGGATAACATATCTCGCTGACCCCACCGGCAATGGGTGGTGTTGCTCTTGATGCCATTGCGCATTGATAAGCCGGCGCGGTGCCTGCGTATACCTGTACGAGATGGCCACCTCCCGGAACATGATCCAACCGTCAATCCGCACCGGATGTCACCCATAAGGGCTCCTCATCGTCAACTTCATTCAATGGATTATCAACCTGCCGGTAAGCGGATATCTAAATGTCCCGAGGGGATCAGAGGGCTTAAAAATACTGGAGGGGATCCACGTGGTATGTCCGGTGGAAAACTACCGTATTCGATTGGTAGTGTCATGCCTTGCGCTGCGTCGATACCGCCCTTCCTCCCACCTTCTCATGCTTTTGGCAAACAAAGACCGCAACTTGGGTAGTCTCTGGGCCCTAAAGAGGGGTAACAGCCTTTTTGGTTCTCTCGCTCTCCTTTCTTGGTGCCCATCGCAGCCTTATCAATTGGGTGTCACGCCATAGGCACAATGGAAAACGAGCTTGGGGAGGATCTGAATAATACATTACTACTATCTGCTTTTTTGGAGCCACTACTATACCTTAGAAACAAGAAGGTTGCTTGTGGCTCCCTTTATCCTGCTTCTTGTCCTGGGGGAAATCCGGTAATAACAACCGAAATGGAATAATTATAGGCGTTACTCAGATGAGACTCTCATATCCGCTTCTACAACCCCTACTTACAATTTTCGGGGAGATCAAAGCTCTCCACTCTTGCATTAGCTCCCTTTCCTTGAGAAGCATCGACGCCAACTCCGCGTTTACTATTGAATCCTGGTTAGTGCGTTACGGTGTGAGGGGTCATTTAAGGGGGACTCACGCAAACCCCTTCCACAACTCACAAAAGTTCTCTCCTCCAGTTAGAATCCCGTCGGCGTCGATGATTGCATCTCTAGCCGTGATAAACGTTGGGTTACAAGGTTGAAGCTTCATCCCCTCGAGGACGAGCTTCATGGCCAGGTGCCTTCCGGTGGTTGGAATCGTGGTTCCGGACCTGAACTTTGGGAATACCTCTTCCCGGTATCCGTGCTTATCTTCAAGGTTCCACATGATTTCGTAAAGGATATTCCCCCAGACACAACCAATGCGATGTATAAGGGGGCTCCAGTTAGGAAGATTGATGATGGCATAGGTGGTGGGGTTAGTGGTCATGTTGGTGGAGTATGGGTATCGACGGATCCCGACGCCGTCCGCCCAATCGGCCAAACCGTAGGACGTATCACGGTTATCTTTAGGTTTAATGCGAATTGCTGTGGCATAGAAGTCTGACCATCCCTCGCTCATACCTCGAGATTCTACTGTATTCAAACAGGTAGGCTGAGCAGGACCTCCAGTCAGTCTACTGCTGAGGCCATGGGTGTATTCGTGGATGATAATGCCGTTATCAAAGTCGCCATCTCGCTGGACGGGGCCCCCTTCTGGGGTGTTCCAGATATACATTCGCTAGACGCATCCGTTAGCTCAATTTTGAAGTCGTCCCAGGAGTAGGTACTAATCTAGGGCGAACTCCATCCTCGGGGCTGGCAAAGTTGGCATCGTTGAACACGGCACCTTCCTGGGCGTTCAATTGCACGGCATCATTTCCGATCCCCCCGGAACCAGTGTTAACCTCTTCAAAGTTACCAGCCTCCTCGGTGAACCCGAGAACCTCCAAAAGGTCGTGGTAGATGTTTGCTGTATAAAACAACTGGGTGATGGCTGCTTTTATATAGTTCTTCGGTTTGGTCTCGTTGAGGCTGTATGGGAAATTGAACTTCAAGCGTTTTCCACCATCAGGGCGTCGGTTCTTGAGGAATTCTGTTCCGCCATCCCAATTTTCTTGAGCAATCCCGTTGTTGCCACGAGTGGTCCTGTAAGATTCATTCCCGGCGGTGTGCCATCCACCCGGTGATGCATGTTTGGTGGCTGGGTCGACCTCAAGTGTGCGGGCGCCCTCGGTGGGGTCGTTAAGACCAATTTTGCTATGAAATGGTTAGTGAATCTGATGAGCCATGTCAAATTAATCAGAGGTAGCTTACTAAACTTCGTATGAAGCATCACTGACGTAGTCAACAGCACCCTCCACTTGTCCTTTCTGCTGTGCGTTGGCGTAGGAGATAAGCCAATTATCATTCAAATCGGTTTCGAGCTTCCATACGAGTTTAACGCCTTCGGGGGTGTTATAGTAGGCCAGGTCTGCCTTCGGTTCCTACGCATGAAAAGGTTAACCTGGTGAGAACTCGAGGGCTAGGGGGGATATATTCACTGAAACAGCCCCCTTGGATCCGGTGATGATGAAAGATAGCCCACCCCCGGTTATGGAGGACTCAGGCACCGCCTGAGCAGACTCAATGTTCAAACGCAGCCCAAGTGTCTCAACAACCCCCTCGAGCGCCTCAAGAGGATCTAGAAGTTGCGCACGGCGGACGGGCGCGAGACCGTCCAATCCCTGGGTAGTGACCGAAGTTCCTGCGGAGAGGATAGTACCATCGCTTCTGATGTTTACATTGGCCTGCGCATTCTCGATGTCAAGTCCATTCAGGGTCTGTGTGAAGTAGACATGAGTCACTCCCGTGTCGGCGTCGGTATACTGATCGTTGTTATGGCGGAAGCTTACACCCGGCGCAATTAACCTTAGATATTTTGTCGCGATAACGGCGGGGTCTTTGTCGCGAGGGAAGATTCCGGGGGCGGAACGACGACCAAGAACCTTGGTGTTAGCGTAGAGGCCATTGATCTTTCCGGGAATAGCTAACTGTCGTCGGATATGTCCTGTAACGGAGACCGCTAAGGCCAAAGACAAAAATGTTACAAGCCGAAAACGCATTACAACAGACTCCCACGAGGGGCTTGGAAACAGTGAGAGCGCCTTGGGGGTGGGATTGTAATCCACCGAGGCATATAAGGGGTATAAATATCCTTTTCTGGTGGAAGACGTTATATCAGTTGGCCTCTGGTTAAAGTGGGGGTATAAAATGGTATCGGAAAAGTTGCACTTGCCGCATAGTGGGACCCTGGATCTCGTCAATGAAGCCCTCTCTAGGCGAAGGCCTGCTGAGGGTAGAACCACCCTCGTAGTATTCTACGCGGGTTTGAATCCCCTTTGTCACTATCAGTATCGCGGAAGGGCGGTGTTGGGTCCGGGGCCAACCGGATAGTCATCTCATCGCGGTTTTTGTCAAGGGTCAAGGTACCAGTGGCTGGTGGTGGGTCTAGAGTTAATGCTAACTAACCTAGAGAAGCGCCATAAAGAGGGCTCATTTTCCATGCAAGTACCTCCTTTCCTGGGAGACAAAGGGCAGCGCGCTGCCTTTTTCAGAGGAAGGATGCATGCAGAGCCTGATCGAATTTCCCCTCCCAGATAATCTCGGCGTGGCACTTAAGGCGCCGGAACAAGCGTAGGGATTAATTGGAGCTCAGACGGGAAGGATCTATCGCCGGCCATCTACCTGCGTAGAGAAATTGCAAGGAGTTCCAAGCGTACCTGCCTCAAGAGGTATGGACCCTAGATTGTCGGTAGGGATTGAGTACAACTTAACTCTAAAAAGGTCCTCTATCATAGTATCTTAGCCCCGCAGTACATGGAGACCGTTGCCAAGATGGTGGCTCTCAAGAATATACGGCACCTCTTTTGGAGCCGGCGAGGATCACCTGAACACCCCCTGGCCAATCAACGAGAGCAACCAGGCTTTATCTCCCTTTCCCTTTGGTGTTTTTCTCCTATTTCTCCATTCTAAGCATAGCCTGGTGCTAATTTTGGACTCTTCCCTCTTGGTAATGGTCTCTATGTACTGAGTGGTTACGGTATCGCATTGCCGGGAGTGACGGTTTGCTGAGTGTGGCGCAACTTTACTACGCTCGGTAGTTTAGAAATACTCAGCTTATCTCTAAGGGCTTCTCAGGAGAAGCGAACCAAGTGAAGTTACAAACGAGACAGCGGTTTCTGCTGCGCATTTTTCTGGTCGGCCGGCGCATCTGGGGTTCCACCGTAGCGCAAACCGCCGTACTGTACCCGGCGAAGCGGGACTAACTGTGATCGATGTGAGATCTGTGCTGCCGTTTCAGGCAAGAATTAATAACTCGAAATCAGCGCGAGACAACGATCACAGCTCATGGACTACCGACACCCCAACAACTGCCCTACCACCTTTTTTTTTCTGCCCCCTACTGTGATAATTTACTTTGAGATCATCTTCTTGCTCGGTTAGATTTTTATCATTTTTGCTGCCAAGAAGCTGTATGCTTGTTGCTTAAAGATGGTGTGCAGGTGGGAGCTGGTGATTCATGGGGGGCAGTAGTGCTGCCGGCATTCCTGGTACTTAATTCATGCCTGAGTACAATTACCTCGCTATATCGTTCCTCAGGACGCCCCCCCCCCTTCTCAATATTTACCTCAGCATCATTCAACTAACAACCTGCCTGAAGGCCAACTAACTAGGTTAAAGGCTGCCACTTGATTGAAGAAAGTTCACAATCAACAATTGCACTCTCGTAAGCCTTCCAGGGGGGCTCCACTAAGAACAATAAGCCTTGCCTTCCGGCATATTAATCCGCTCTGGCTGGCCCATATATTTGTAGGGAATTGGGAGCAAGACCTATCGGAGAGAAGCCGAACCAATTATTCTAACCCCCTGGTCATACCTCCGACCGGGAAATTTCTCCGCCTTAGAATCTAGCACACTCCTTTTTATTCTTCATCTTTTTATTTTTCTATCGGCATTACCATAGGAGATCTCCACTCAATTTCTTATATTAAAATGCTGTATTAAAGTACAGTGTAGTATGGGGTAAGTGCTTCCGGAAGCACTGCTTTTCCAGATGAGATTTATTTCCTTTACTATTGTTTGGTTAGTAATCTAGACAAATTATCTCTTGGCGTATACGGACAATATCACTCCCTCGGTTCGAATAGTTAGCGGAGCAGTTTACCGTGCAGGGAGCGACTAGGCCGAGCAACCAAGCTGGGAGGGAGTGTTTTCGTCGTTTGCCGTTTACCGGCAGTCGTGCCAAGGTTCCTGTCACTTCGAATGGCGCTAGTCTAGGTCTCTTTCAAAGTATCGGTAACAGGAACTTTGACACGGTTATCTTACGTCCGTATAGGACTCTAACTTGAGAGATCTCAATTACCGGTAGAACACCACCAGGGCCGGCTGATGGGGAACGGGGATCAGGAACGGGTGTTTTCGTTACGCTACCGGTGCTTTGGCGTATTGATCTCTTCGATTGCCAAATGCCCCTCTGCGTTTTGTTTTTCCTTTTCTTTCACGCGTTTTATTCGTCTATGAGGAGGGAGATTTCAATACGGTACTGTCAAGCCTACCTTGTGGTTCATCCTAGATTGTGTGGAGATTCGTACTTGTCATGTGTGGACGGTTGTCGTGCTTCCACGCATACCAATTGCTGTAGATGATTGAATTCTGTTCATTGCGCAAGCTGTATTATAAAAGGGGGTCGATGGGACCCTTTGAAGGAAAAAGAGAGGGAGAAAAATTAGGAATGGTCATGGGCAGAAACCAGAATGAAACTCTTTGATTTCTTTCGTCTTCGTCCTCTTCTAGCCTAGCGATCCTCAACAGCATCGAATACTCAAGCTATTGACAACTGACCAATCCCCTGTGCCAGTAACCCATGAAAGAACGCCGACCACATCTACCGGGGGAAATCCAACCAATACTGGAAGTCTTAGAAGACGTATGACAGTAGGGTATTGGAAGAAGAACGAGAACGGCGCGGCACCAGTACTAGTACTCGTACGGCACTATTAGCCATGCCCCCCACTCGGGGATTCGGGTCTCGGCATTTGCTCTCTTAGGCGTTATCTCGTTATGACAGTGTGTTCCACTACAGGTATCATACTGTAGTGCTGACTCTTCTTTTTCTTTGTCACTATTTCTTTTGTGGACCAATATCGCTCTAATTTCCATTTATTTATTTAACTACTCGTTTTATCTCTGTTCTTGTTTAAACTCCTGCACTGTACTGCTCCAGTGTATACCTAAACAGGTGCACCGCCCTCTACGGAGGTGCAAGTATAGCACCAAACTTTCGTGTATTTTACTAGTAGGGGGTATTTGGCTTGCAGGTGTACTCGTAAGGGCCGCGGACCGGGTAATTCTCAGCCTGAATTGGATAATGTCCACAGAAAGTTACCCAGTTTGAGGCACTTACCCCATAGATGAGAGCATTTATAGGAACTCTCCTGCAATGATTATTGAAACGTCCCTTCCTCGCCATTATTCTCCAGTAAGGAATCCTGTGGTGCTAAGGCGGTGCTGGGGGGCCGATCACCCAAAGGGTCTCTGGGAAACCTTTGCTCCTGCTCTTTTTTTTTTTTTTTGAGTATATCCGGCGTCAAGGGAGAAGCCGGGGGTGCCTTGAAGGATTTCGAAGAGTATTTGGTAGTTTTCACAGCTCAAGGGTATATGGTGTGCCTAAGACTGAGCAGGGTCCTCGAGTTGTTTACTTCGCTGAGATGGACTGGCGTATTTTTGGAACACCCCTGGGCCTCCCGCCACATCTGGGTAAACCTTTTGGATACCATGCTCTTGGCAGAAAAACCTTTCGGATACCATCGACCGGGAAATATACCATCGAAAAAGTGAAACCTTTGTACTCGTACACAATTACCTTCCCTTGCCAAGAACTCTAAGAAGATTGCTAAATACCCTTAGTATTACCCAGTTCATCTTAAAAAGTTGTGGAGAAATATTTTAAAAATACTAGAAGGCTGTGAGTGTTTCATTATTATTTTTCCAGGACTTCTCTTAATTTATTTGCATTTTTGAGCAATAAAAAGATGGGTGGAGATGTGCAAATATTT